AGCCATGGCTGCTACATCAATAAAATCATATTAATTTTTCTTAATTATTTTAGTTTCGCCAAAAGAACAAAATCATAAATATTGACAAACACCCCCTTAATGAGCTGATCTCATCATGGGTGGTGCCAAGTGCCAACTAGATAGCCCTCAATTACACCATGAACCATATGGCTGTGGCCACTTTCGGTCATCAACTCCACCACGTTGGGTCCCTCCCGCGCGCCTTTGAATGGCTCAAGATCAACGTCGACGGAGCTTTTGAGTTGACTCGATCGAGCAGGTGTGTGTGGCAGTGTGGGAGTGGTCTGTTGTTAGCAAAGCAGCCGGCCGGTCATATTCTCTCTCTCTCTCTGATCAGGCTCGATGGAATTCTGTTGGCGAATTCACAAGTTGGTCGCTGATTACATAAGACTATTGCGCGGTTTTCGCTATCTCGCTCCTTCATTCTCCTCACAGGAAAGAGTGTTTTCAACTTTACTTGTACTCTCTCTCTCTCAACAAATTACTTTGTCCTTACCTCCGGCCGGAGCATCTCTCTCCTGCACTGATGGATGATCTCAACTTGGAAGGAGTGTTAATACTGTAAATACAAATCTATATAATATAAATACATACAAAATATTTTATGCTCTACATATTTATATTATACTCCATCTAAACTGAGCCTTAATTGAGAATATCATATATATATATATAGGTCCCATTAATCTTAACAAAACCTATGCATATATGGGTCCCGACTCATGCTTGGAATCGTCATCAGCTAGAATTTTAAAAGATAGCAGCGTTTCTGAATAAGACAAAGTTGGGGTCCTACCTTGTTTTTGTTGGTAGCTTGTAAATATTAGAGTGAAGACAACAAGGCCTCCCATACGGCCATACTGCTGCAAACCGGCGTCTCTCTTTTTCAGGCTTTGTTTTTACGCCGTTATCTGATTGGTTTTTGTCTGTCATTTGGCCACAAACTTCTAATTATTTTTTCTTTGTGGTTTTTTTGGGTTTAGTGTTGTTCTTCTCAATGAAATTTCTTTTTTCTATTTTCTGTCAAAAAGAAACTTTTAGGCCTTGTTCACATTTCTGGGTAAATGCAGTTATTTAGATAAATTTTTCTTAGGAAACACTTAATCTAATAAGTGTATTTATCCATATTCTCTTATTTCTCATATAAATAAGACAATGACTATTTTAGTCATAAAAATTCATTATTAAAAAGGGCATTTTTATCCCACCAAAGAATACCTAAGAAAATAAACTTTTTTTTTGATCCCCACATATATTTAAAAAAAGAATATAGAATTCTTGATCAATAAAAACCAAAATCCCATTTACCAACTTTCTCTCCTCTCAAAATCTAAAAAAAAAAATGCCCCTTATTTCTGCATCTCCCTGGACTAGTATGAAGTTAGCAGTAGATCCGGAGTCTTCAGGAGGCCAAATCCTGAACCCTAAATGGTTTAAGTTCGGCTTTTCCCAACCGAACCGATCAGACCCAGTCAACACATGACCTTGATCAATGTTTTAATTTTTAACTTACCTCATTATCTATATCTATATATATATATATATATACTCTAATTTACAGAAAGCTGTTGTTTCATCCATCATCCATGGCTATGGCTTCCATCGTCCGCACACTCTTTCTCTTATTCTTCTTTCTCTTCTCTGTAGCCTCCCCCTCCACCTCAACCCACCACCACCACCACCCACTGGACCCACTCTCACCATCCGAACTCGCCAACGTAAGCGCCATAATCAAAAGATCGAACCCAAGCTCCACCCACAAACTAACCTTCCAGTACATTGGGTTGGACGACCCAGACAAATCAACTGTGATTTCATGGCTATCAAATCAGACCACCACTACTACAACCCCTCCTCGTCGAGCTTTCGTCATCGCTCGCATCGACCAACAAAGCCACGAAATCACAGTCGACTTATCGACCAACTCCATTGTCTCCGATCGAGTCTACACCGGATACGGCTATCCTCTGCTCACCCTCGAAGAACAGGCAGAGGCAGATGAGCTGCCGATGAAGTACGCACCATTTCAAGCTTCAATCAGAAAGAGAGGTCTCAAGTTATCAGAAGTTGTGTGCCAGACGTTCTCAGTTGGGTGGTTTGGAGAAAGGAAACAGGGCAAGAGGCTGTTGAAGATTCTGTGTTTTTACTTGGACGGAACAGTCAATCTTTACATGAGACCTATAGAAGGCATAACAGTTGTGGTTGATCTTGATGAGATGAAGGTAGCCAATTATTACGACAGGTTCACAGTTCCGGTACCGAAAGCTGACGGAACCGAGTACCGAGCCTCGAAGCAGAAGCCGCCCTTTGGTCCATCTCATAACGGCATGTCGGTCGTGCAATCGGACGGACCAGGATTCAAGATTGATGGACATACTATCAGGTCAGTAATTATTAATTTTTTTAAACTTTAATTCCACCACTATCGCTCTGTAGACCGTAGAGTGTAGTGCGTTTGGTTGGGCAGAAAACCCAAATTTCAAGAAATTGGTTTCCATGGAAAATGATGTTTTCCTTGCCTTTGGCGGATAGAAACCAGAATTTCCCTTGAAAATCCATTTCCCCCTAACATATTGTTTTCTCAGACAGCAGAATTGTTCCTGTTTTCAAATCTTGACTATGCTCAGCCACCATTTGAAATTTGAATACATTAATTCCACCTCCGTTCCAATGGGCTAGTTGTTAACTTGGCCAGTGGGTGGCCATGGTGAACAATTCAGCCTTCAATGGGCTAGCTAGTGGGCTTCGGGGCTTGGGCCTTCTCAATTCACGGGGAAGGGGCTGTAATATGATAATCCCAATGAGGCAAAGAGGCAATGACCAGTTGACTAGCCATAAGTGTAAATCTGGATGGATTCTACTCCTAGACTTCTAGTTGGACGACAATTTCCTGGGTTATGGCCCATAAGGAGATGCTACACACAAATAAATAGACTAGAAAGTCTAGAATTATCATGCTCACTTTTCACGCTCGCCAAACCTAACTATACTAAGTTACTAACAATTATAAGACGCTTGAATTTTGTTGCACGTAAAAATTAAAATGTGTTGTAAACTATTATTTTAAAAGAAATATTGAAGCGGAAAATCTATTTTAACAAAAATATTGATTTTGTTAGGGTCTACTTGCCAGCAAAGCAAAATACTATCCAAAAGTAGACCTAGAAAAAAAAAACGAAAATTATACATTCAAGTTTTGAGTACTCAGTGCAAAACATTTCCAAACGCAACCTAATTTTATTCATTTCCGCCGGGCCTTAGCCCACCAACACTACCAAATTCATGGTTTTTAAAATCGACCCGGAGATCGAATCGGTCAGGGAACGGTTGGCTCGTTCTGACAAAAAAAATGGTCAAAACCGTTCGAACCGGTCAGATCAACGGTTTGTTGACCAAAATCAATGATTTTTTAAGAAATTCTAATTTTAGGAAAAACCGAAACCGATCACCTAACTGGTTCATGGTTTTTCTGGTTCAACTGTCCAGTCCAATCTGATTTTGAAAATCATGACCAAATTAGAGGGATATACACTGATGGTATGAGAAACGAGCAAAGTTATGGCTGAACAGGCTTTGGAACCAATGATAAGGTTCCCACGCCAGTGTTTAAATACATTTGTGCCCACTTACAAATGAGTTCGACCGTCTTTATAGCCTTGCGTTGGGAATGCCACTCTACTCATGTGCTTTAGGAAAAGATAACAGTAACTTGGCTAATGGGCATTGCTAATTTACTATTTTACCCTTTCTTATGCTCGACCCATTTAACAATATCCCAAAATTACCCCGTCATTCTTCAAGCCAAAATCCTAATAGTTTGAAATAAAAGAGAACCATTGTCGTTGCTTCTTCAATCATTTGAGAAAGAGAAAACCATTGCCATTTGATGCTGCTTCTTCCCCGTCTGAGAAATAGAAAACTATTGTTGTTGATTCTTCCACCGTCTGAGAACGTGAAACCCATTGCCACTTATTCTTCCACTATATGAGAATGTGAAAAACCATTGCCGTTGCTTCGCCCCCTATCTAAGAACAAGAGAAAAACTAATAAAATGATAAAAGTTTTAAAAAAATCAAACAAAAATTAGCCATTGCATCCAACTAATATTGCAAGATATTTTCAAAAAACTATTTCAGAGAATTAGATAAAAAATTACAAATATTTTTGCATAAATTTGCAGAGCCTTAGATGGGGATTTACATTCCATATTCAAGTTGCAAACAAAATTTATAGTACATATTTACATATTTCAAAACATTAGAAATCTCTAGAACTTCTGATCATAATTTTCGTTCCTTCACAACTTCAAACCGAATATAGGAGCAAGTGAGAGAGGGAAAATGGTGGTGTGGCGGCGGCTAAAATCAAGATCTGAACAAGAGAGGGTGGTGTGGCAGTCGAAATCAAGATTTGAGCGAGAAAAGATGGTGTGACAGCTCGAATTGAGATTTGAGCGAGAGAGAGGTGGAGCGACGGCCAGAACCAAGATTTGAGCAAGAGAGTGTGGTGTAGCAGTCGGAATCGAGATCTGAGTGAGAGAGAGAGAGGGTGGAGAGACGGACAAAATCGAGACTTGAGCCAGAAAAGATGGTGCGAGAGTCGGAATCAAGATCTAAGAGAGAGAGAGAGAGAGAGAGAGGAGCAGTGGCTGAAACCGATATTTGAGCGAGAGAGAGAGAGGGTGGAGAGATGACCGGAATTGAGATCTGAGCGAGAAAAGATGGTGCAGTAGCCGGAATCGAGATTTGAGCGAACGAGCGAGAGAGAGGATGGAGTGGCGACCAGAACTGAGATATGAGTGAAAAAGGATAATGTGACGACTGGAATCGAGATCTAAGCGAGAGAGGATGGTGCGGCATCCACCTACTGTTGAGCGATTTAACCAAGAGAGAGGGAGCCAGTTGGTGTGGTGTCTACCTTTTGAAGATTTGTGTGTGAAGAGAGAGAGAAAGACCAAAAGGTCTGGTTGAGAGAGATAGATTGGCACATAGACGCACATAGAGAGAAGTTTGGAAGAATCTAATCGTAAATGACACATTTCCCGAACTCGCGAATCAGGAATAGTTTGGTCATAAAAATGTTATTTATGCTGATATAGACAACTGCTGTCAATGACATTAACGGTGAGAAAAAATAATTATTGACATTAGGAATTTAAGAGAATTCTTAAAAAGTGACGATGAATTTTAGATAATTTCCCTGTGCCTTATTTCATGCCAAGATATTCCCGCTGCAAGGGAGGTTATTGGGACGGTGTGAACACGCGATTGCCCTGACCGTAGCCGATCTCCTTACAAGTGTATAAGGTTTGGCTGTCTACATATTTTTGAGATTCAGCGTGGAATGTTGACAGGTGGGCCAACTGGGTCTTCCACCTGGGTTTCGACGCCCGAGCGGGTCCAATCATATCATTAGCTTCGATCTACGACGTCGACAAGCAGAAATTCCGACGAGTGATGTACAAGGGATATGTGTCCGAGTTGTTCGTGCCATACATGGATCCAACATTTGAATGGTACTACAAGACCTTCTTTGATGCAGGAGAATTCGGTTTCGGCCTCTGTTCGCTTTCACTCGAGCCCTTTACCGACTGCCCGGCCCATGCCGAATTCATGGACGGGTATTTCGCCGGCCGAGATGGGCAGCCAATAAAGATATCCAATGTTATTTGTGTCTTCCAGCGGTATTCAGGAGATATCATGTGGCGACATACTGAAGCCGGTATCCCAGGGAAAGTGGTAAGTGGTTTATCGATGTCATTTGATAATTGGGAAATGGGAATTGAATGAGGTGGTTTAGTAATTTAGGTTTAATTTGCAGATAAGGGAGGTTCGACCGGAGGTGAACCTAGTGGTTAGGATGGTTTCAACAGTGGGCAACTATGACTATATCATCGACTGGGAGTTCAAGCAAAGTGGCTCCATCAAATTTGGGGTATGTGCTTTTCTTGTTTTCTTTCGGGCTTTGTCTATTCAAATTCAACCACCACTGTTTCTGTTTCTGTTTCTGATGTGTAGTTTGTGCGCAGGTTGGGCTCAGTGGTCTACTAGAAGTGAAGGGAGTGACGTACACTCACAGAGACCAGATAAAAGAGAACGTTTACGGAACGTTGTTGGCAGAGAACACCGTCGGCGTATATCACGATCACTTCGTAACCTATTACCTTGACCTCGATGTTGATGGGGAAGACAACTCATTCGTCCAGGGCAAGTTGAAAACAATGAAGATAACTGACAACAGCTCACCTCGCAAGAGCTACTGGACGGTCGTCAGCGAGACGGCAAGAACTGAATCCGACGCACGGGTTCAGCTGGGTCTGCAGCCGGCCGAGTTTCTGGTGGTTAACCCAAATGAGAAGACCAAGGTGGGGAACCAAGTGGGTTACCGTATTCTTCCCGGGTCGCTGGCAGGACCCCTTCTATCGGATGATGACTATTCACAGATCCGTGCCGGGTTTACGAAATACCAATTATGGGTTACTCCGTATAACAAATCCGAGAAGTGGGCGGGTGGGCTGTATGCGGACCAGAGCCGAGGGGGTGACGGTTTATCCGTTTGGAGCTCCAGGTAATGATGGGATCTTTCTTCTTTAGTTAATTAATTAAATTGGCAATTGGCATTAATAGATAATTATAATCAAATTTAAAATAATCATTTAAGCACGGTCACTTGATTGGCATCTCAGGAATAGAGAGATAGAGAACAAGGACATCGTGTTGTGGTACACGTTGGGGTTTCATCATGTGCCATACCAGGAGGATTTTCCGGTAATGCCGACGCTAAGCGGCGGTTTCGAGCTCCGACCAGCCAACTTCTTTGACAACAATCCGGTGCTGAAAGCACAGCCTCCTAAGCGTGTATCATGGCCTAACTGCACTACAACGCATATATAGCTGAATTTGTTTGGTATAGCTTTTATTTATTAAATAAACATTAGCAGTAAGTGAATAGATATTCAATTATCAGGAGAAGTTTCTCCCAATGGTTGGTGTACATATAAATCAAAATCCACTTTTATGAAAATATCAATGTGTACAGATGAACATAATAAGAAAAATGTTGATTTGGTAATGACATGACGATGTTTTAATAAATGCCTATGGAACAAAGTACACACTTAAATAATAATTGAGATTTGATTTTTATTTAATATAATACTTAGTACGCTTGTTTTATATTGCTACTAATGGGGACCTATTCGATGCACGAAAAAATCTGAAAGATTGAATAATTTTATTTACTATTAATTAATTAGTAAACTAATAATCAAAATTTATTGTTGATTAATTAACTAAGGCCCAATTTGGTTTGCGGGACTATGGGTCTAGAATCGGAATAGGAATGGGCTAATCCGATTTCAACTGTATGGTTGGGTGGAATTGGTATCCCATTCCCATTTCGACTGGAATGGCATTCCCCCATTTGAGGGAGGCCATTCCCTGCCCCTTCATTGAGAATGAAATCCTATCCTGCCGATTCTAATTTCCATTCCCATTCTTGTTTAAACCAAATATACCATGGGAATTGACCATTCTGGCTCCAACTACGAACCAAACAGATTTGAAAAGTATTGAAAGTTATTGTTAATATTTAAAATTTTAATAATTGTATTTTTCATTTAATCATTTGTAGTAATAATTATTCATTTAATATGAATAAATATTTTTTAATAAATTTAATTTTATTAATCATTTGTAGTAATTTTAATAGCTATTATTATTTTTAAATGAAATTTTGATTAACTTTAAATAAATAGAAATAATTATAACGACAATTACAAGTTTTATATGATTGTAAATAAGTTATTTAAAAGTAAAAAACTGTAATTTAATGGTCTATATAAAATTCGAGGTATCAGGACGCACTTAGTAACTATTGACAAATGAGGGAATAACTAAAATGTGAAAAAACAAAAAAAATAAAAAATAAAATGTATATTGATATACATTAGTTTTAAAATAATTAGTATAGTTTATCTTAATATTTATTAATACATAAATTTTAATAATTAATTCTAACATTTATTGATAAGCATACACTAAAAAAAGAGAAAATTTACTTAAAAATAAAAATGCATAAACCTATAGTAAGCAAATGGGTGTGGCTTAGTGGTGTACCTCTAGTTGTTAAAAGCCTAATGGCTAATGTTCAAATCTTGTTATTACTAAGTTTGTAGTTTTATACTAACAAAACTAATTTAATGCGAAAGAGGGTTATTAATTAATGAAATTAATGAGAAGAGAATTCTAATTACGTGCTAAAATTGAAATTCAAATTTAAAATTATGCATTAAGTACAAGAGTAATTAACTAATTAATGAGAGAAATTGCACTTAAATATAGGAATAAATA